GCAGATTATTTAAATAAGAAGCCTAATTCGTTTCCTACTACTAACTCACAAGAGCACTACAACACCTACAATCAATCTAACAGAGTTGAAAATGGAGATTATTTGGAGTTTTTGTTGTAGAATTTTAAAAGTACATTAATTGGGTAGTTAGTGATTTCACTAGTGCTGTTACTAGTGACACAGACTAGTAACAGCACTTTTAAGGGATCACTGGAGATGTACAGTTGGTCCTAATGAGTTAAATACACAAAATGAGCGCTCTGATCTGACTTAGTTCCCGCTATTACTTTATTGATTTAAACTAATTGTAATTAATTAATTTCATTATTGTCTATGATTAGGGGTGGATTATAAAGTCGCTGGGTCCTTGAGTCTCATCTTGATGAACTCAGTTTGAATTACTAAGTCAGATGCATTACAAACCCATGAACATTGGATACAACAATATCATCCGCCTTTTACTATAACATGGTGTTTGCATCTAATTTGTATGACACATATTATACCATTAGTTATACGTTTGATCACTACGCTTTATCCAATAAAATCTAGATAATAATCCTAAATAGCCCCAGGATATCTATTATATTGATTTGTCATCGCTGCAATCTATATTTTATAGATTAAAAGTAATATCATGGCACGTATGCAGTGATGGAATGTTGCATCACAATTCTTGGAGCGGGTGGATCTAAAAAACTGGTAAAGCAATTTGATGACAAGAAATGGTGAAATTTTATTGTTTTATACTAAGTGTTATATTCTTATTATATATCACGAAATCAGAAGATCAAGCTATTAATCACTATACTATTAGTTATATATAACCAAGCATTGAAACTAAATAAATAGCCCAAACTGCAAAACTTCGTGGAGCACAAATTGTGGACAACTATTCCCAAACTAAGGATGTAATGGTTTGTGAACCAAAAAGAGAACGAATCTTTGATTAATCAAACTATTGGTTCATATTGGTACTATGGGTTGACAGAAGTAAACATTGCATTAAATATTGAAGTAAACCCTTTATGCATAACACCTAAAAGGCCGGAAATAACGTAAAAAATAAACAATCTTTTCGTCTCCCACATCGTACATTCTACAAAGTAAAAGCCTGTCAAAACGTAACAGCAATATCAGGTAAAATGTGGCAAGCTGCCATAAATTTAATTCAACAAGTGAGGCTCTAAGCTAAACAGAAACGAACCAAGGCCAAAGTGTAGAGACGTCTATTGTCCACACGAGGGTTTCAATACAAACTACAAAGTCAACAATGAGGACACTAATGTTACCAGGTTCATAGGACATTCCAAGTTAGCGGTGTAACTAAGCTACATAGACGACAATAGGAACGACAATACGAGGCTACATTTAGTACGTTTATTAGATTTATAATTGAAGAGTATTGACAAAGAAAACATTTCTTCAAAAATTGTCGACAGGGTAGGCAACAGAATGTAGGTAAAGTAGGAAGAAGAAGACTGTATACCAGTACAAGGCCTAACAGTCACGGAACGCAGTCCATCACGATAAATTTCATTTCATTCAATGTATGGGCCTCGGCTGCAGCTCCAGGTCTGCCTATGTATACCAGTATAACGGTAACGGAACACAGTCCATCACGATCAAGTAATACTAGTAAATTGATAAATACGGTCTTCATTTCCTTGTGAAAACAGATAAATTCCAATCAATAAAATGCTGATTCACAGATTTGATTCGCAATGTACGGGGTCATGGGCCTCCAGGTCTGCCCATGTACACTAATGACTACTATTTACACAGATAGATTAGTTTCCTTTAAAACCATGTCATTTGACTTACAAATCCCAGTTACGAGGTGCTGACCCAAGGAAGTAAAATAGTTTGCCAAATACAATTAAAAGATTCGCCGTCGCATGAAATAAGATTATCAATTAAGGCTAACTTCATAAACTTCAAGAGTTAACAAATGACTGTTTAAACACTAATGGAGCTCCAAAGCAACGTAATACTTCATAACAATAACATCGGATGGTATGTAAATTAATCTTATAATGAGTTGATGTGTAATACCGTACTTTAATGCTGTGCGTTCTAAGCTAATGTTACCAATGACTGACCGAACGGCAAGAAAATGACTTATTCTGCAGAGGTCTGTAAGTGTACTAGGTCTATGTTAATCATTCTCAGTGAGAATCGTGAGATGATAAGTACACCAGTACAGTTAAAATACTTTTGTATTGGTTTGTCACGAGATTTGAAGTGGTAGAAAGTTTGACCAAGTGATTTTTAAAGTGGCTTTTGTCCCCGCAAAATTCTATTTATGAAAGCCCGCTCCTAACTATGCAGCAAAGATATTGTATAAGAACTAACTGAATAATTTACACAATACGTTGCCCATATCTGAGCGGCTCTCTCAAATTATTTTCTCTCCTCTTCGGATCAGAAAACGAACACTGGTCTAACAAAATTAAAAATCTACTGAATAAAGTTAAAGTGATACCATCAGATTAATGGTTCAAGAAAAATACTATACGTACAATATAATTAATTCTATTGCCACACCGATAAAAACCAACTGGCTGAAACCAAAGCAAACCAAAAAACGATTCTCGAAAACAACACACAAAGTCCTAGCCACTAAAAATAGTTAAAAAATTTATCGGAAAAGTTTTAAAATTTCTGACCTCTGATTAAAGGTCAGAAAATTGAACGTTTTTCTTAAAAGTTTTGAAATCTCCGATCTCATCGCGACGATCCTTTACGAACTTAAAGTCTTTTTAAAACTAGTTTTACAAATACAAATAAATTTATTTATATAGGTTGATGAAGTTGTCGAACATCCGAAATATTTCGTTCAATAAAAGTCGTCGTTTTAATTGTTAAGATCGCAGCTACAAAGGAGAAATAAAATGTACACATTGGCCTTGTTAGTTGAAGTCTATTCGTTCGTTCGTTTTCCACTTATCTCATGCTGATCAATAATGTGCATATTATGTAACCAGAAACTTAACTGGAGCTGGTTCAGTTAAGAGGATGGCTTGGCGCCCCTGGTAACTCGTACTACGTTTTATAGGTATAGATTGTAGAGTATGTTTTGTAAATACAAAACACAATTTGAACAATAGTCAAATTTAAACATAACAAACGCAATGGAAAATGATCACAAAGGTTGCTTGCGGAGAAGACCCGTAACAAGACCCTTGTTAACAGAAAAGCAAATTATTGGGATTCAGCTCAAAGTGTGTGTGACCAGGGAAATAAGAAAGGATTGGTTGTATGTGGTGGTTTAGGAACGTTGGAAATTACCGTTGGTGCAAAGATCACGTTAGTGGTAAGGTGGTAAACCTTGACTAAACTGCAGGGATTTCCTCAGAAAAACGTGAATAAGCTTACTCACCGAATATAAATAAATAATAAAACTTAAACTAGCATAGTTTACGTGCATGTTATGCGCGACCACAAGTCGCAAAAACAACTTAATTAATTTAAACTATGCACATATTCAACGACAATCAAATATTCATTTTCGACTTATTGTGCAGACTTCATCATGTAAAAAACAAATTATGGGGATTGATCTCAAAGCGTGTGTGACCAGACAAACGAGAAATGATTGGCTGTGCATCATGGAAGATAAACGTCGATGCAAAGAACGTAAATAACCTACTTTGCTCCTACATTTAAAAGGAAGCATAATATTATTAAAATGAATCATAAGATTAGCCATTACATACATATAATATAATATATGCGATTATTTACTGCTATCTCATATCAGATGACATGTCTGAGGAAATTTTAACAGTTCCCCTCTAATAAACACATAGGTATTTGAGGAGGGGGTGTCAAAAGGGGGGAACTTCGCCGTTATTTTCTCCATTTTCTCTTTCAACTTTTGGAATTTAAAATGACGTAAATACTTCTCCGTTATACCCACCCTTGTCTAAACCCCTTCTCCCCCCCCCCCCCTCCATCCCACCCATAACCCATTTACTTGATCAAGCAAATCATTGCTATATTTATTTTACTAACTTATTTACGGACAAGTACGGATGGAATATTATTCGAGCTTTTCGTTTAAAATTAAAACAAGTATTTCATATATTATAGGACGCAATAAAACTACCGGACCACGATGTATGGGGAGTGGGGACTTGCCACCCCATGGCAACATTAAAATATGTCGACTCTGTAACATCGTTTCCTCAAATTATTTGTTATATAGTAGTGTTGAAAGTATTAAAAGCGATATATATATATATATATAACATAATGGAGCGAGGGTGTAGACTGGTTCCACCCGGTTCCACCCGGTTCCACCACATTACATAACAATACTCAAATTATTTGTTATATAGTAGCGTTGATTGTTGAAAGTATTAAAATGTATAATAGCGAAATACAATTATCTGCTATATATCATTGATACTATCCCAATCGCATTTTTAATTTTAAGTAAGAAAGCCACCTTCGTCAGGACTTCTCAACAGTTTCAGCACTAATTCGTCTGTCACGCTTTCTGCTGCAGACCACTCGTTAGTCAGCAGCCTCATCAATCAAATTAAATAATTTGTAGTTGATCGAGAGCGTTTGCTCAAAAGTTTAGAAGGCAATATTTGGATAGACTATTTGTCAAACTTCGTAATATCAAATATGACTAATTCAGTAAATTAAAAAACGGGTCTCCGCTTCAGTCGGTCATTTGTCACGGAAAAGTCAGATTTGTCAGGAAAAAGTCAGTGAGTCAGATGAGTTTATGAAGTGACGTGAACAATGACTGATACAACCTGTATCAACATCGAATGTTACAATATAATCTGCATATCATATAACTAATAACATATAAATGTTAAATTTAAATGTTAAATTAAATGTTGTACGGTCATACGGGCCCACCTGGATAGGACCAGCAACAAGGCCTTTAAACATAACAAGAGCCCTAAAACATAACAGTATCCTAAATAATACAGTTCCAACCTAATTCAACTAAAATTCAAATATTTCCATCTACTCACACGAGCACGAGTCTGTTCACGTCCTCCTTGATCCTAAAGTACTGTTCGTGAACTGCGTCCCCCTCCTTCTTAGCGAGGCTCCTGGCTGTAGTGTCTCCAAGCCCCTTGCTGGGGGAAGTTATTGGGAACTTGTTCCTGTAGTTTTCTAGCAGCACTTCGTACGCCTGAAGAGAGGGCGTGTTAATTGGGAACGCCTAGCCGACCTAATTGTAGTTAGGCTCGGGCTCATTTGGGAGCGGAGAACGGGGTCAGTTAGACCCAGGTTCATTTGGGAGCGGAGAACGGGGTCAGTTAGACCCAGGTTCATTTGGCAATCAGCTCAGACTGTAAATCGTATTTTGACTCAATTGACGGCTCGGTTTCTTGCTAAATTCATTTGGAGATGCCAGCTTTCGCTGTCATCATTACGTATGACCGGTTTACGCAAAAAATATGGAAACTATGTATCGTCTAAGTATCTGCTTGCTCGCTCAATTTGAAGTGCCAGGGACCAGGTCAGGGCCGGTGCAAGGGACGGTTAGAGCCCGGATCACTGGCTCAGAGAGCAGGCTGACAGATGAGGAGGATGACTGGCTGTGGGACTGACCACACCACCCAACCCTGACCCTGGTCCAAGCATATCATGTGCGTCACAAACTCAGCTAGATCACGGCAAGGAAGCTAGTATTGCTGACAACAGTGCGTACTAAAATACTAAAATACTACTAGTGAGGGACCTAGATGGGGCCATCTCCAGTGACCCGGAAAAGATAAAGTACCGTGATCAAACCGCGTAACTATTGTTGGGTGCATCGAGACGAGGCTGAGATCGTGCCAGTGTCTCTTTAGCTGATATATAGTCAGTAGGGCAAACTGTGCCAAATATAGTCCTGGCTCCCGTCTAATTTTAGCAAATGCTCAGTGAAATGGAATTTACGAATTGTGGATACCGCAATATTAATTGTTGTTCCTTCCGAAAGATTGTTGCTATGAGATGATGTAATCCCAAGTTAACAATTTAGTTTTAGTGTATCGAATTGGAGCAATCTAAAGGTTGGCACAAATGTCTCTATCATTTTATCAAGAAAGGAGCATTATCTAGAATTTATTAAGTCAATGGAGCATGACTTTATAATTACAGTCGTTTCTTATTATTACAAGTTGTTACCATTTTTATGCATTCTGCAGAGCATTATTTGTTTAGAAATTTACAGAAGCCGACAATAAATAAAAGTCATAACATTAGCCTGTATTTAACAAAATAGGCAAATGAAAATTTTGGAGGATGACACAGCGGAAAACCACACCTGACCCGCTAATTATTCTCCCTTCTCAGCTTCTCTAACCTCCGGCCAATATCACGTGACACGGGGGACGATACACCGTTACTGGCCCTCAAATTTCAAATTAAATTACATAAACAGAACATTGGTACATAATTCTTCAAATTCAATAGACAAACACTTAAACAGGGTTAACTCTACAACTTACGTCACTAGACGAGATGACTTGCTCTTGCGCCTCTTTGAGGTCCTCAAACAGACACACTTTCAGTGTCACATCCGACCGTAGAACCTGTAAAATGTCCGGACGTCAGTAAGGTCCTTGTTGGAGGGGGGTCGTGGTAGCGAGGACAGTCGACGTAAACTACGCACGACCAATTAAAGGAAACAATGACTTATGTGCCGTGCATGGAGCAGCGTGCTAGCGTCCGGAGTCCGCTGGTCTGCATGCTGGACAAACCCGTGCCCATAACTTATTGTTGTCCCATATGTCACGTTCAACTATTTGCTACAAAGATTGTTAGTTTAAAAAGATTGCGTGGGAACGGATTGGGAAGGCGTGGATAATAGTTGGCATAAGTTTAGAGGTAGACTCCCACGTCTAGAACAATCTTCCGGGATTGGATGAATACATTGCTCCACAATTGCTACTGTTGGGACGGCCGTGTAACCCGGTGTAAGCACTTCTTTAACATTAACTCTTTGAGATTCTGAGAATCAGCTACCGGTAAATAAGATATAATAGCGGATTTTAAACTTTCGAAAAAGCAGCATGTTGTTGTAGTTAATAACAAATAAACGCTGTTCATAGAAAATTACAGACAGGATTGAGAAGTGAAAGCAAGTACATATTACTTCCAACAGAAGAGGGTCATGAGTTACGAACTCAATAACATAAACCCTGTTAGTAGTATGGTTAATATGTTTAAGGGGGAGGGTTCACCCTGATTTTTTTGTGAAACTTGGTTTCGAGATAGCAGTTGACCAACAAACTAGGACCGGTGATCGAACTTTTGAGGGGGTCCCGGACCCCAACCGCCAAACGGTGCCCGCGGGGCAGCCACGCCCATATTTGGTCCAAATTAGGCCCAATTTAGCCAAATACCCTCAACATGCCCAAAACCCAGATTGTAGGTGCTCTACTTGTAGCTAGTGGTCCCTTGAACTCGTATATGAATTTTCATCAAAATTGGACAAAAAATGACTGAGTTATGAGCCAAAAACCATATGCCCATATTTGGGCATACGCACCAAATTTGGTCGATTTTGGCCCATAAATTGGTCAAATATCAATATTTTTGAATAAAACCAACTTTATATGGAAGGTAAGCCTATACTACACATTCTCTATGATTATCAGCTCAGTATCTACCTAACTGTGGATTCTATGTTCAATTAATCGCAAAAAATGAACAAAATCGCCCATATCTCAGTTCGCGATATTTGCGAAACTGATTTCGTTCAAAACAATAGAACTCAATAGGGTTTCAATATTTTTACATGAAACTTTCAGAATCAACGTAGAATCGCATTTCGACCTTAAGTTTTAATATGGAATTTTGAGTTAGGCCTTTAAAAAAATTTGGCGGCCAAATTCTGAAAAATGCCCGGCAAATTTCAGAATTTGGCCGCCAAATTTTTTTAAAGGCCTAACTCAAAATTCCATATTAAAACTTAAGGTCGAAATGCGATTCTACGTTGATTCTGAAAGTTTCATGTAAAAATATTGAAACCCTATTGAGTTCTATTGTTTTGAACGAAATCAGTTTCGCAAATATCGCGAACTGAGATATGGGCGATTTTGTTCATTTTTTGCGATTAATTGAACACAGAATCCACAGTTAGGTAGATACTGAGCTGATAATCATAGAGAATGTGTAGTATAGGCTTACCTTCCATATAAAGTTGGTTTTATTCAAAAATATTGATATTTGACCAATTTATGGGCCAAAATCGACCAAATTTGGTGCGTATGCCCAAATATGGGCATATGGTTTTTGGCTCATAACTCAGTCATTTTTTGTCCAATTTTGATGAAAATTCATATACGAGTTCAAGGGACCACTAGCTACAAGTAGAGCACCTACAATCTGGGTTTTGGGCATGTTGAGGGTATTTGGCTAAATTGGGCCTAATTTGGACCAAATATGGGCGTGGCTGCCCCGCGGGCACCGTTTGGCGGTTGGGGTCCGGGACCCCCTCAAAAGTTCGGTCACTGGTCCTAGTTTGTTGGTCAACTGCTATCTCGAAACCAAGTTTCACAAAAAAATCAGGGTGAACCCTCCCCCTTAAAATAAGTTTATAAAACACAAAGTTTAAAAACTCACCGTAAGAAGCTGGTATCTAAGTTTAAAGGATGGTTGTAGCTGTTCTTTCCTGAGTTTACCCTCGGCGTCCTCTAGCCAGTGGAGAGCCCTTGCTATTGAGACGTCGTAGTGAGCTATCCCGGGCTCACTATCCCCAGATAATATTTGCTAGAAGAGGGAGACAGGGTTAAGAGGTTGTTCAAAAAGGGGATAGAGAATTTTAGAGTAAAGTCACAACGAAGTACGGATCAAAACATTAAGGCAAGGAAAGTAAAGGAAACATAATATTAACTATTAACAGAGATTTCACTGAAAGTATTTAAATATTAATAAGGGTAAACAAAACAGTGCCCATGTCAGAGCGACTCTCTGGCTATTGAAGTTGTAACTAGCAAGTAAACCTATCTGTCTATGTAAGTGAAGGAAGTTGGGACAAACACTGAAGAGGACTAGCGAGCCCTTATGCGGGACAGGGGTATATGAAGGGGGTAATCTGGCGAACTTCGTGCCGAATTAGTAGTAGTAGAAAGTTAATAGCCGACCTTAAACCGGATAAAATGTCCTGAATGCTTCGCAACTGCTATAAGCAAACCACTTCTACGCTCAGGTTTTATATCAAATCTCATATCCCTCAAAATGACTCGAATGAGTATGATTCATGTAGCTGGAGTATAGCAGATCGGTCAGTCGGTGTGTTCCAATAAAATACGGTTAATAGCCAAAACTGGGAATCTCTTAAGCGGGGACTAAACAATACAACCACAGCACAAAATAGAACATTTTCGAGTATAGAACTCAAATACAATTTAGTGTACTACAAAATATTGGTAACTTTTGACAATACCAACACTACAAAACAAGTATAATACTGCACTATAATTAAATATGAGCAGGTGGTTCTTCTGATATAAGAACAGCATGTATATTGTATACGGATCATAACGGTTGGCATGGAAGAGAGAGAGGACCTTGAACAGAGAGAGAGGACCTTGAAGGGCCCTTCTAACGACCATGTATACCTGTTCTATGCGGATATGCTCAGTAATATTACTCGAGTTTATGAGAAATATTCAGTTTAGTTCATATCTGGATGTGTTAATTATGAAGACTTTCAATCTACATCACTTCAGGATTTAATCTCGTGAGTTTTGAGCCGTTTAACGGGGGAGTAACTAATTATCTGATTAGAGAGCCAGCCTCCATAACACAAGAACATTAGGGACTAATCTGCAAGCACATGCGAAAGAAGAAGAAGCTCATATACGAGGAACCGATAATAGTTGCTACAGAATATAACAGTGGTGCAGATCAAAAGTTGTTCTTTAGAACCCACACCTGATCAAAGTGATGGCTCAAGTTTCAGACAAATATTTCAGATGTATTCAGATTGAACAACATTTGAAATGGAGCGGACGTCTCCATGTAAACTGCTAATGCTTTGCACAATCAAAACCATTAAATTGGAGGTGGTGCCACTCTGTGCCACTCGGTGCCACTCAGGTGCCACTCTGTGCCACTCGGTGCCACTCTGTGAAATGTAAAAGAAGCTTATCAAAGTAGTGATTTCGGATTTGTGTGCCTATCCACAATATAACAGAGTCCAAGAGAAGGTGGGGAAAATTTGGCACCAAACGTTACAAGCAAACTAACAGATCTGTTGCATACATGTTGTCAGCACTGTCCATATAAGGTAATGTTACCATGGTAACACTACCATATAAGGTAATGTTACCATCGCTCATACATGTTGGTTATAACTAAGTAACAATAGGATATAATTATAAATACCCAGCTCTGCTATACACATGCTCATTGCTCAACACCCCCTGCCTCTGACTTATACGGTCTGCTGATCGTACATGTATACTGGTCAGTTAATTATTGATATCCACAAGATCCTGTACTTCCCAAGATATGAACGGTAAATTTGTAGATACTGACTCAGTACCAACAAATTTACTGATCATATCTACCCTAAAGCCATACTTCAGGATAAGGCTTGCTAGGAGTGATCACCAACTTTAGCACTGTCTCTACTCTAATATCGTGTTACTGTTACTGGTACTGTTACTGGACAAGTTATATAGGTTAGGCTGTAATTGATAACTACCAAGTAGGGCTTATAGTACAAAGTAGGAAATTAACATCTAGTTCCAGATAATATCTAGTTCCAGATAATATCTAGTTCCAGATAATATCTAGTTCCAGATAATATCTAGTTCCAGATAATATCTAGTTCCAGATAATATCTAGTTCCAGATAATATCTAGTTCCAGATAATATCTAGTTCCAGATAATATCTAGTTTTAGTTAATATTGAAGCACACTTACCGATCTTTGGTCGATCTCAATGAATATAGTATCACGTTTGTCCAGTAGGTGGCCTATCTCCACAAGAAGAGGGCTATCTTTGAGAATCACCTCCAGTTCCTCCCGGATACTCTCTATCTCTATGATACTTTCATCTTCCCCGACCAAGTCTTCTGATATCAGCTGTAATTTATGGGTCCATATTATGTGAGGGATTTGATATGGTATAACTTAGAAAAATAAAATAATGAACAGATCATTACACAAAAATAAGTGAGATCTAAGCTGGGTGGGTTTATTTAGACTTCTGAAGAATAGGGCCACCAAGCCAAGGAATGTGTAGAATTTGAGTAAAATTTGAATTGACAGTGTCCAGCATCTCACAGTGTAAATGGGAACCCCCGCCCAAAAGTCAATAGTGGGTGACGTGCTAAGCGTGGATTATTTATGACGTATTTGTCACGTATTCCCACGTGAGAATCTTCACAAGAGACTGAGAACTACACGGGATGTTTCGCAGTTTGGACATTTTGGAGGTGTCGTCCGAATTTCTTGTAAACTAGACATTTCCCACGGATTTGTAAACAATTACATAATGCGAAGTTCAGATCGAGCTTTAAAATTTACGAGATTAAGCAAATTAATTTGGCCTGCTACAAATCGTAAAAACAAGTAATTCTTGACGTGCAATGATTACCTTCTTAATCATAACAATCATGTGAAAAAAGTCTAATTTCACTCGGCCTTACGTCAATGCTAGTCAAGAATAGAACTTCTAGAAAATTTTGAATAGTAGTGCGTCAATTCGTGTCAAAAATAGAGGAGCACTTGTGGTAATAATATTAAACATGTTGAGTAGCGAGACTGCTACACTCTACAACGAGAACCACTATAATTATTTCTGAAACTAAACCGTGAGAAGTCTCATTAAAGAAACTAATAATGCCTACCTGCAATTTCTTGATATCCTCAGCGACCCTTTCGACCTCCAGAGGATACAAATGCATGTCAGCAAGAGTGTCCGACACGTTCTCCAGAGTTACCATGACGTTTTGGAGCAGATCCTGCAGCGCCATAAGACGTCCTACACATCTGGCTTTAGCCTCGCAGGTTGGGTGGAATTTAGACAGTTTCACTTGCACTCTGTACAGCTTGTTCTGAGGACATTTTAAGATAAGGGTCACTTTTTAGAGATTGAATCAATTAGGTTTACAAGGTTTACAGTTTTCGAGTATAAGATCACCAAATCTACGTCATGAAAATTTCGAAAGATATGATTATGTCATTGGTATGAAAATTGATCGCATACTTCTGCCTTAAACGGTCATTTAAATTGTGGGAAATTGTAAATGATATTTAATTTAACATTTTCTTTGCCGTGAGAAAATGAATGTAAAGAATGCCAGGCAATTCCACATACGATAAGAGGCTGGAAATCCTCAGCACATGTGTCGTCAGATTCCTTGTGAATCCGCTCATCTAACTCGTCACCGTAATCCACCATCGCAACAATGTCCTTCAAAATTTTATCCAGGCTCTTCTCAGCAGGCCCAATATTATCAGGCGTGATGACCACCACGGCAAATCTAGCCACCACATCGTCCACATCCTTATCAAAACCCTCAACTTTAGCCTCTAGATCTGACAGAGCTGAAGTTTTGTTCTGGTGCATTTTAAGCAGGGTGTCCCAGTGGTCAAGAGCTGCATTCTGGCGGTCCAGTATGTCTGTTTTATCACTGTTGGGGTGGTTGTCCGCCTCCACAATCAGTCCTTCACCTGCTTCCTTCAGGTTTGTTATCACTAGCTCTCTTCCCCGCAACTCTGCTTCAAAGTTCTGAGAAAATATAATATAATATAATTTGTACAGTATTTGGCAACTCCGCGTTTAATTGACGTAGCCATGCTGCGAGATTTCATGCTACTCAAAAAACTATGAATGAGCCTACGTACAGAAGCGGGATCCACAAATCCACAAACTTTAAAGGGGAAATTGCATGTCACCTTGTCGTAGGGCCAAGTGAGGACTACATCACAGTTGCTAAAGAATTCGTGTTTAACCATAACGTGTTTTAGGTATCCTCGCTGTCGATCGTATGATACCTTTAGTGCCTGATAGTCTGAACCAGTCCTGAATAAAGTACAGTTTAAAAAAATGTATCAAAAAAGTAAAATATCTTTATACTGTATAGTTGGTTGATTGTACACCTGGTATTCGAAGTGACTTACGAATTTTCGCAGTCCGTGATAAAAATAAAGAATTTGCCTTGAATGTTTCACTCTTCACTGGTATAAGCTTATACAATTTAGCAATTTACAACATCGGCAACAATATCAAGAAATAAGAACGAGCGCTGAGAGGATTGATCTTCAAGAGGCAACGGTCTATGGAAGTCTATTGTTCTTCAAGTGTGCAGTTGACAACTGATAGTATCTTAGGAATTTTTCACATTAATTCATTGTTTGTGCGTGAGGCACGTTTTGAACACACATATTTGTGTAAGATTGTTGTCACTTAATTCCTCAAGTCTCCTCTAATCTGTAATTAATTAATGCAAGTAGAAACTATAATTGATGTTGGTAATAAATCTACAATGCTTTAATTTTTAAATTCCGAAATCACAACTTATTTTTCATTTTCAAATGACATAACTTAACGCCGAAACGCTGTCGAATTCGCCGCTTTGGAAACATTCGATGGCGTGCAACACTGGTGACTTCAGTGACTTGTATCTAACCGTTTAGGTGTTATGAAAGGATCGCCCTAAATCAGTTTGACCAGTTATCAGGGCTGGTCACTGAAAATGTTGACGGCCGGACACAGTTATCAAGTAATTAAGCACACGTCTCCACTCATTAATAAACAATTAGACTCACTTTTCTGACTCATTAAGGCACTCCTCGTCAGGGGGCAGCGTAGTGAAGATACACGATGGAACTTCTGTAACGAGTCCGGAACTAAAGTTGCCGGGTCCGTTGCTGTTCGGGGTATTTCCGTGATGTCCGTTAACTTTGGGGGGAGGTGACAAGCCCTTCTTAATCCTCCACAAGTCCACTGCGGTACTACTGATGTACAGGCACTCCTCACCGCGCGAGATGATGTCCTGACCGAGTAAAGACATTAGTATTATTGTTATTTGTTGTGTACAAGAATGTGAACACAGTATTCAAGTTATGTGGATTTTTCAAGACCAATGAGCATTTTACATTTTTACTTATATTTACATTATAAGGGGGAAAAATTAACGGGGAAAATTCAGTTATTTATCCAAAAAATGACTAACATGTCTGTGGTCGACGTTGCCGTTGGGCCCCGCCCTTTTGAAGGGACATAATGCCAGTACTCTTTCACCTGACTTAGGCATCTTTCTCTTCGACAAATTAACCACAATCTGAAGGTATATGGTGTGAGGTCTATTAGCCGAATTAGCCTACCTCACGAAAATAGTAAAATAAAGACGGAGAATTATCGGACTAACTCTAATTTCGAGAACAAATACGGCAAAAAATTATACAAATTATTGGAATTACATTGCCCAAGTTTGCGATCTCGACGATGTTTGGATCGTAGCCAATAATGTCCTTCTTCATGTCCACTAACTCCTGAAGTCGCTCGGAAGAAGCAACCACATCCAAACACTTGGCATTGTACCTGGGATAAATATCCTTAGTATTAACATAATTATTATTAATATTCGAATAATTATCGATCTATATTATATTGTGAGACTCGTGAGAAGCAATATGCACGCGTTCTAACAATTGTGGTTGGAAGTCGACGGAAATTCGGCTTCTCATAAAAAAAGATTAAAGCTATATTTTGCGAAGGAGTTGCTTGGTGTTATTCAGTTGATTTTAGGAACGAGTGCCAAGAATTGAGAATTACAGAGTATCAATCCATTTTTAAAAACAACAATACAGGCCGCAAATTAAGGAGAAGAGCCCTCCCACTTGTCAAGGTCCCACATCATGTTACCCCTGCCGACCTCGGCTCCATTAGCTAGTGAAGTGGTAGCTAGGAGTTAGCACTTAGCACCACACCGCTACCTCATACCCATTACCCACCCCTCTACCACACCGCTACCTCACAGAGGCACATATTAGGTGCGATGGGTGCGGGATCGCACAATTTACCGTTTTCCGCACATTTCCGCATAATTTATTGTTTTCCGCACACTTCCGCACATTTTGTAATTTTCTGCATATTTCCGCATAATCTAGCATTTTCCGCGTAATTTCGCATAATTTTGAAATTTTCGCGTTAAGATTTTCGAGTGTAAAAACCAAAATATGTTAAAAGTCGGGCCCTTTTAGGACCGTGACTCAGGCCCTTTTAGGACCGTGACTCAGGCCCTTTCGGGACCGTGACCCAGGCCCTTTTGGAACTCATACCTACTACCTAGGCCACGTGACCCAGTTACCACGTGACCCAGGCCCTTTCGGGACCCTGACCCATGCCCTTTCGGGACCGTGACCCAGGCCCTTTTGGAACTCATACCTAGGCCACGTGACCCAGTTACCACGTGACCCAGGCCCTTTCGGGACCCTGACCCAGGCCCTTTCGGTACCGTGACCCAGGCCGTTTTGGAACTCATGCCTGGGCCACGTGACCCGGTTACCACGTGACCCAGGCCCTTTCGGGACCATGACCTAGGCCCTTTCGGGACCGTTACCCAGGCCCTTTCGGGACCGTGACCCAGGCCCTTTCGGGACCGTGACCCAGGCCGTTATGGAACCCTCGTCGTTACCGTACTTCGATCATACCTGCAGCCCTTTTTATCGGGTAATGAGCTCTATTCGTTGTAGCGTTGGCTTTTTAGTGGGCTTAATGGATCTTGGATCAAATGGTTTACAAGTACTGACGATCAATGCCAACAAGCGTGTCAAATATTTGCGATCACGCATGGGATCTAATCGACTCTATCAAGAGGCGTCTTCAAATAACTGTCTCCTGATCTCTACCAGATCAAGTCACTGTTCTCAGATAACTGAATCTCAATATAGGTTCAATCATGGTTTTAGTAAAGAACTACACCCTCAGTAACACATAAACAGACCTATTTTTGATAAGAGCGGCGGTTATACGTTTAGAACTTCCAAAGTCCTTCAGAAAATGCAAAAGAAAACCGCACAATTCCCGCACAAATTTCGAAAAAATCGTCGCACATTTGCCGCATAATTGGTAAAAATTTACCGCACCTTACCGCACATTTTACCTTTATAGTCGGGTGCGGTACCGCATAATTTCGATTTTTTTACCGCACCTAATATGTGCCTCTGCTACCTCATACCCACCCCTCCCTTCTTCCAGACGCTCGCAGTTAGTAAGTTGTCGCAATAAAGTGCCCTTACCACAGGTAGTGTCTACTTTTAAGAGGGAGCAAGAACACCCGTCTCCCCCACATTGAAGAGAGAAAAGTTGTCTAAATAATACCTCAACTATAAAACTCTTCAGATATACGATCTTTATTTTCCAAACTTCCGGTTTGAGCAGTTTAAACTTCTTACCTCGTGTCCAAGAGGTTCCGTTTCTGAGTGATCCACAAGTTGGCATTGTTTAATCTCTTCCAGAAGAGCTCGTAGTCGTTGTTGTGTTGAATGTGTTTCTCAGCTACACAAGCCAGGTCCTTCAGGCAGGTCCATAGCTCACACAACTCTTCAACCTCCTCCTGATCAAACACAAGGATTAATTTAACCTAGTAACCAGTAACCAGTAACCTAGCAACACTTCAGGCAGGTCCATAGCTCACACAACTCTTCAACCTCCTCCTGATCAAACACAAGGATTAATATAACCTAGTAACCAGTAACCAGTAACCTAGCAACACTTCAGGCAGGTCCATAGCTCACACAACTCTTCAACCTCCTCCTGATCAAACACAAGGATTAATATAACCTAGTAACCTAGTAACCTAGTAACCAGTAACCTAGTAACCTAGTAACCTAGTAACCTAGTAACCAGTAACCAGTAACCTAGCAACACTTCAGGCAGGTCCATAGCTCACACAAATCTTCAACCTCCTCCTGATCAAACACAAGGATTAATATAACCTAGTAACCTAGTAACCAGTAACCAGTAACCAGTAACCTAGTAACCTAGTAACCTAGTAACCTAGTAACCTAGCAACACTTCAGGCAGGTCCATAGCTCACACAACTCTTCAACCTCCTCCTGATCAAACACAAGGATTAATATAACCTAGTAACCTAGTAACCTAGTAACCAGTAACCAGTAACCAGTAACCAGTAACCTAGCAACACTTCAGGCAGGTCCATAGCTCACACAACTCTTCAACCTCCTCCTGATCAAACACAAGGATTAATATAACCTAGTAACCTAGTAACCTAGTAACCAGTAACCAGTAACCAGTAACCAGTAACCTAGCAACACTTCAGGCAGGTCCATAGCTCACACAACTCTTCAACCTCCTCCTGATCAAACACAAGGATTAATTTTATAAATTTCGTTGTCCTAACATTGACGTAGATAAGTAAAGAAGGAGGTATGTGTTATTGGTTTGGCATTCCGATGGTTACAATTGTGTTGTGATACAGGGTGGCCCCGAAGTAACTATATGTTGGAATTTGAAATGTGACTCAATAGGTAATATGATTATGCCAGACTACCAGTTCACATCTTGCATAATAGGTTGGTATTTTGGGCCACCCGGTACATCGTGTGGTATAACTATGGGGCCATTCTAAAGAAAATTATTCAGAACAAAAAATAAATTTATAATATTGGAGGTGTAAAAATTCTTAAACGTCTAAATAAAGTTTGCGGATGATTTAAACGCTAATGCAGGTCATAATCTTAAAATACTTTATGTAACTCAGTAAGAATTTATTTCAGCGACTGAAACTGAATTAAATTGTTTCACGGACGTTAAAGTTTCCCCATGGACCCCCAGTGTCTGTACTAGATTGATGATATGACCAGGCGAACCCCAGGACATACTCAACGGGACTTGTGAGTTGGGACAGATCATAGAGCTGACCACGGTGGACCGTGAAGAGCTAGCCGCAACATGGTCGAATGCCGCTACTTCACATTCCATTCAGCATAAAAACTACAACAACCTCCTGCGTCAGGTGGCGGTAATCTGATTGCATTTACATGAGGAGGAGCCAGATATAAGATAGGAAGTAAGCAACGGACAATGAGAATGAGGAAAGCGGCTCCTCTTTCGAAAACATCTGACACGTATCTAATTTAGGATCATGAGGGCGTTAAGATATTGGATTAAAATAACCTCATCAACGTGAAGAACTATCCTTAATCATTAGTGGTATAAAACCCAGTGGAAGCATTTCCTGATTTCCTGTTACGAATGCATACAGGATACGTGAGCCACTAACAATCCGTGTGAACACTCCCTGGTCATTAACCAGTTTTGTTACTTTGTACCTAATTAGATACTTTATGTTTTAAAATACTGATTTGGTTTGTTTACCGATTACTATTTACTCTGTCGTATCTTTTCTTGATATTTTAATTTCTGTTTACAACAAATTGATGAGCGGCAATCCTTTCTTCTTTTGGAAACACGAATTCGCTTTTGAATAGTATGTTAACCCGATTTTTAAAAATGTTGATACCCACGGCTTATATTTCAAATCCTTTGCTGAGTACTAAAAAGTGCAGTTCGGAAATTGGGAAAGTAATGAAGATTTATTTTGTTCATATTTTGCTTTCTCCATGCTCACAGTTTTACAGATAAATCCCTCTGATTTTATATCTTGATATGTATGAGTAATAAAGGTTAAGCACTTAAGAAATATTATTATACTTTTGAAGTTACTCAAGCGGCCAATTACGATGAAGTCTTAGTAATATGCACCATAAAAACAAGACCACAACTTTTCTACCGATATCTCAACCTCCCCCGCCAACTTATGACCACAATCCTTTTGAAGATTAAGAGCCATGTCTATTTTCACAAAAGCTTTTAAGTTAAATGATCATTAAATGAGAAAGTCCACTCCAGGTAGGCTTTGGGAAGTTACCAAGTGTATGATAAGCCACAAATGGAGGAGTCAACAGTGTTTATCGAGTTGATATAAGTACCCCTCCATCTTATTCAGGGGGAGTCAAAGGTGAACATTCACTCTTCCGTGAATAAAGTGGTCCAGATTTATTCACCTTGCAAGCAACAACTGTCTTCTGCATATCCCAACTTTCTCCTCCAAATATTCAGAACTTTTAAACCGGCTGTTCACTCTTAACGATACATTCAACTGTGACGAAATTAAGCGCTGTTGTCCGATTGGCTGCCGACAAAAGGTTTAATACTTTGCTGCTTTATATGCGTAGGGGGCATATTTATTAAACTTTGAAGTTCATCGATGAATACCTTGAAAGCAAGCTCAAAGCTCTCATGCCCTGAAGTGTTCTTAAAAACTCTGTAAGGAGCTGAGAACTTGGGTTATATTTAGCATCCGACAATATTTGCTCTCTAAATCTGTTTAATATTTTCCTGCCAAAAACTGCCGGTCAAGCTAAAAAAACCTTTCGGGCCATTCTGCCAAAAGATAACGTGCAAAGTATAGACTTCAAATAAAATCACAAGGCTAATGAACAACAGGGAATGGTTACATGATAACTCTTGGTTTATCGGGGGTTGGTTGATCTGTCTGCTTATATCGCCATATCGGGCGAGCTGATTGTTTTGAGTGCAGTCAAGCATTTGAATATTGAATATTTCAACTTGATATTATTGTTAGAAATAATTGTATGCAGTTTGTTTAACAATTTTAAACCGCAGTTAAAATCTTAATAATATAGTGGATTGTGACGAAATTTGGTTTCTTCTTTCTATTGGCTGATCAGGAAAGTTACTCCCCTGGATCAGTGCGTAGGGGCGGTTTTTACAAAGGAGCACTGACTATATAAATTGAGGTGCATTTTGAGATCAACAATTGTTTGACTTTAAGTTTACGATCACCTTACCGATATAGTCAAGTTGAGTAGTAAACTTGAGTTGCCAAGCCGTGATGATAGTATGACGGTTTGTGACCGTATCAAATACCTTAACATCGTTTAGAGCTTAGTACTCACTTCCATTTCAAATCATTCAACTTGCTATAAAATTATGTAAGTACTAAATCTACTTTAGGGGAGGTCAGTTTTGCATGCTCTGTCAAATTGATCCGCGTTTAAATCACCACTTCTTGCCGAATGAAGGTCGGTGCGGCGCCAGGCTTACCTCACTAGAACTTGAACTTGCGATGATGCCAGTGGCGATTATTAGGTCATATCTATAGTTACCCCAAACCATCCAATGGCTGTCAGTCCTTTAATGAATTTTAGAAAGGCAAACCAAGTGGAAAGAGTTCATATATTGTATTTCAAGTTGATTAAATCATCGATCTAAACCATCTATCAATTCTAAATCGATTTATGTTCCATTATTTAGTGTTTAACCAAATTATTGGGAAAATTATGGATGACACAATGCATATCACAAGAAGTTGGATATAAGGGTATCAATATTTCATGACCACAGTCATTGTCGAACAGCTGTTGACTTGCTTTCTTACTTTAGTCTGACGTTTCGGATAAGCCACCGCCTTAGCCGCTTTTGTTGCGATACACCGTTTAAGCATGTCATAATAGTGAAAACGGTGACATAGAAAAGGAGTTTAAACGATCGTTCATACGATATCCACCTTTAAAAGTAGTTTAATGAATGAATCTCCGTCAGAAATTGCAAGTCATTACTTTCGACTAGCTGGCTTTCGGACTTTTAGTACTACTTGACAGAATGTATCATTGGTCACTTTGCACTTTCAATCTTCTTATATACGAGTCTCATGAGGGAGCGTTCATTTTGCGGAGGCCCGCTGGACTTGTTGAAGTAGGTGGACCTATTTTCCTATCTGTCAGATCTCAGTAGGGCTGAGTCACTCAAAATGGTTTCCTGATCATAGTCATTCTGATTTAAAGGCGAGGTTAAGAGAAAGGAAATTTTGGTTGAATTGTGATATAGCGTAATCGCTCGCATGAATGATACAGATCCTGATTCCAAAATGATATAAGCTAATTAACACCATGCTGTGCCATACTCGGAGAATATCATTTTCCGAAAATAACCAGGTCACTTCTCCATTATACTTCGGGTAAACCCGACGGAAACAGTACTCTAAATAGTAGCCAGACAAGCTACCAATTTGCGGAGGAGTATCGTCTTGCCGATGGTCTGCAACTGGCAGCCGTTTTCGTGGGAGTTCCCCCACTGTCGATATTGATGCCATTTGGACGGGGTTCCCGGGACCTGGCACCATCGCCCTTAGGTCACCCTGACTACGTGATGTAGTACTGATAATCAAGTAGCGCGTCACGGAGCGCTATTTGTCAAGTGGGAGATACCGCTCCGGACAGGAGGTAGCTATTGTTTTCAGGAGTTGTATCACCCACACCCTTAACCAATTACCCATTAGGTAAGGTTCATTATATGCACTGAATTCCCTGAATTCATTAGTCTGCATCCCCTCCGATAAATTTAAAGTTTTGGCGTCCCTCGAATTAATTTCAGTTGTGTTCTCACCCCGAGTTGATGTGTCTTATCTCTGTCCGGACCGTAGGATTATCGACAGGAATGCTGTCTTGTCCCGTCCTAAGCTCCCTCCCTTCTAAATTCTAATCTAAAAAAGCGGTTGTCATGCTCACTAATCAACATCAACAGTTTACGACGGAGTCAGATTAGCACATTTTATACATGACTGCATATCTCGTATATGTTTTAAAAGAAGCATGGTAGAATAACATTATTTGTCATCGCGATCAATCATCCTTGCTGCGGCCCCTAAATCCCATGTGTAAATCGACTTTCGAGTCCATAAAGTTGCGGCAACATGCTTTAGAGCAATCCTTTCTCATTATCGCAAGACTCCGCCCCATTACAAAAATTCCCATGATTGTTGATCTGACAAAATGATCTGCGGCACTTTTTTACTGTAGTTACCATGTAAGGTGGCTCTCAATTCATGATGACGTGCATATTCATTGTTATCCAATTTTATTTACTTGCCATAGTTACCAGGTCGCTATAAGTATAAATTAATGATTGATTGAGAGAGGGGTGACTTATGTTCAGAGCCACGCATTAAATCATGATACAATGCAGGTATAATATGTACAAGCCCTCCAGATGACCTATTGTTCACATTCCTCGCGTGCTTTAGTAGTCGGCTGCAACGCACGCTCCTATAAAAGACGGGCCCGTGACTAGTCACCACAATAGTCAATAAGTCCCGCCGTTACTTTATTAGTTTCCCCATTTTTGTTTTACTCAGTTCTATTCAGCCCCACGGGGGAGCGGTTGCTATTATTGTCTCAGTTATTTGCTATTGACGCTTGTAGAGCTGCATAGTCATAGTGGTTCATGACACACAGTGATTTAACGTTGTACAATTATTCTGATCATATTATTCTTGTTATCAAGTTAGCATTTGAAATTAAGACTGCGTTGCCGATCATTAGTTGTAAACTTAATCTTCTTTGATCTACTTTTTTACCTGAATCGTACTTTCATCGGACAGATTTTATCTCATTTGCAGTGATATTCGGATATATAATTAAATTTTATACGACCGTAAGCTAATCACCACAATGCTGGGTTTGTGAGCATGGCACCAGCTGTCTGTCTCCCCTGGTGCACTCCTCGGTGCAGTGCAGACAGCTAATCTGCAGCACCTGGCATGGGAACAATAAGTATAGGGCCTGGGAAATAATACTTGAAATTCAGTATCAGACATAAGAACATTTAGTGCGATTTGCAGTGCACTCTGGGCACTTATATATCATGACCACTGCAGGTTAAAAATAGGGTGTCACTGAATTGAAACAATTTACAGCCATTCTCAAGTTCTCACTTCTCACTCCCTTCCTGCGAATCGTCCATCAAGTCTGGAAACGATTATCAAGATGTGACTCGCAACCACTCAGTGGCTGGAGCGGGAGAAAACCTGTCGAGATTTGTTATAAAGTATACCGTGCCTCTAATTCATAGCGAGCCGCGAGGTCCTATTGTGGGATAATCTAATTGAAGGGTGCTAAGCATACATTGTAGCAGAAAGTAGGTAGAGTTTCTGACCTAAGCACTAAATTCAGGTTCAAATCATAAGGGAGCAGCTGCATGATCACGGATTGCCAAAGTGACGTTGGCAAATGAATCAATGAATGTTTTAAAATAGTAAAATTACTTGAAATCAAATTTCAGGGCGTTGGTATCAAAAACGTTAATCCATGAAATTTGACCAGGCGGAAATCTACGGATTATAAAACGAGCCCATATACGGCCACATACTAGGGCAGGGTACTATTAAGCTACTTCAGTATGATCATGTGAATATGGGGGCCGATGCCCAATATATACAGTCCAAATTAGAAGTGTAAGTCAGAAGGGCCGGGCTGGTTACAATTGGTCAGCAGCTTCACACCTCCGGTGACCAATCGGAGCGCCCCCACAACTCGTGGGGTTTAATCATTAGGGCCAGGCTACCAAACCCTCACACATTTACCATCAGTCCTTTAAATAGGGCACATAGTCCCCAGATCGGTATCAGTTTCTCATCGTGTTACTTTCGACTTTGCTAACCTTGCATGCGAGCCACCCAGTTTTGCTCAATATATACAGTAATTTAATGATATTTTAGTCACTGAACACGAACCGTTCTGCGTAATGATTGCTTGCATTTTCCTTCGATATTGATTATGCATTTTTATTTATAAAGTATTCTTTTCCGTCCTCATTTTGTCCAAACTGTTTACTAACCTGCCATTTATTTTTAGCTATAAGCTACTTAAACGAAAACAAGCAATGCAAATCATGAGGATAATCGCAACCCTACTCATCTGCTCTTTATTCATCGAATCGGTAAGTCCAGCCTCAATAAATTGTTATACATCAGTTTGAAATTTGTTAGTTATTCTGCGCAATTTCATTAAATCCACATATATTACTCCAGACAGTTTATAAGATATTGTCAATAAAGTGACGGATATTACCAATGGTTCACAATTTCTAAACATCTCATCTTTCTTCAGATCGAAAGCAGACCGAGTTTCGCAGTCAAAAGACTGAAAGGAGTTGTAGATCTGGATAATAAACACGACATCAAGAATCTGATAGGAGTACTGAAGAACTACCTTCACAACAAAAATACCGATGGAACGACCGAAGACTCAGAGAACGGTGAAGTTATCGCTGAGGAAGAAAGATCTGAAATCGGAGGAAACTCTGAACAAACAGGAGAAGAGACCATACCTGGAGAATCTGATGTACAAGGTATGTGTTTTACAGCTTTGTAATCGGATTGGAATATGTTTTGTGTAAATCACGAGAACAAGTAGAAACACTACATTTATATAGAGTTCTTATAATCCTATTACTCAAACTAACCAATTTTCATCCACAGAAGCACACGCCGGAACTACCAGAGGCAATGTTCGAGTTTACAAATACAAAGTTGATTTCTATACAATGGATCATCCACTGTCAGAGGTCAAGAAATGGATGAAGAAAGGATTCAACGCCTGGAGCAACCCCAGAATAGATGCCTACTTGAGGAAACATAACTGTCCCACTTTGAAGTTCGAGGAAACCACGGTAAGCTGAAAACCACTGTGCACTGTGCAGTCTGTTGTCAAAATAGCCTGCTATATTTAACATCCATTTTCTTAAAATGCAATAGTTAATAAGCTCACTCGCATTATTTCATGAATGATAAACATATCTTTCTCATGCATATCGTGGCTCATTTCTTAACATTATCTTTCTTCAGAATAACGACTACGATTTCGCGATCAACTTTGATTACGAGTTTTTCGATCGATACGATCCAAACAGATTGCTGTCTTGGTTCTGGGAGGCAGACAAAACTATTTACATCAACGACCACCACGACCTGAGACGAGACTGGATTGCTCATGTAAGTTAAATACGTCATTTTCCAGCACCTCAACAATTTGGTTCCATGGAGATGAATAATATGTTACCAACTAGTTACTAGTAATATGTGCAATATGTTTAGCATATTTGAAGTTTGATCAAATTCGTACGGAGACTATTCTATCATGATTTCTAACAGATTCCCCTTTTCAGGCTGTCGCTTACGATACATGTGACATGTTGGGCTGCAAATGTACAAAACACGCCGGACAAAACGAGATCATGGCCTGTGGACCCGTCTCAGACTGGGACATCTTCGAGCCAACACGCCATGACTTCAGGACCATGGCAGCTGCCCTCGGATGTCAAACACCCAACCTGTGGTGATCAACCCATTTTTGGGGACACCGGACAATTTGAAGTTTGGAAATAGGGAGCGAGGTTAAACTTGCCACTCAGGAAAAGATTGAGAACTTGGAAGACGGACCTGGATTTATTTTTTTCGCGAGTGACGTTATTTCAATTATTTGAGATTTGACTTTTATTTTTTCCTTGATTGTGTTTTATTTATTTCGGGTTAAGTTAATGTTGAGTAATAACTTAAGATTGTACATTTTATTTATTTTATTTATTTGAACGTGCATTTTCAGTGCACTAGTGTTATATTTGCTGTGCAATGACCATATTTGTTCAAATTCGATTACATATTCAGAATATACGAGTTTTCTTTGTTCAAAAGTACAATATCTACATCAAATTCTACCTCAAATCGGATGAATCTAGCACATAGTGAACTTCGGATCTGAAGGTGGGGCTTAGGTAGCCTCTGTCTTTAAATGTTATAATATTTTCTTATCAAACAAAACCTCTCTAATTCTAACTAGAATACCTACAACACGTGTATACCTCAGGTAACGCCGTTACCTGGTTACTAACGGTTACCTGGTTAATAACGGTTAACAATCCCCCAACCATCCCAGTGGTGCAGGATTTTACTGTCTAATGTTTGACAGAATTTGACAACTTTTGAGAATCTCTGCCATTTGTCGATCGAGTAAAAAAACATTTCCTTCACTGATACGGCAATCCTATTTGTCCATGAATAATTGTATTAAAAGGCTGGCTGTCAGTAAATTCATAGTGCTTTATAAGAATTTATACCCGTAGACTGCAGAATTGATTTGACATTCTTCAAACTTTGGGTAAAGATGCAAAATTTAATATATTGATATCAATATCAAATATTGACTCTTATTGCAAAACTTGTAGGATTTTATACATTATACAATCAAGAAGACAAGATGAGTAACAGTAAAATTAAAATAAAAGGAGACTTACCCCAATAACTCTAGACATAGGATGCTCGGTTTTGAGGAGCTGTTTTCCAAGGTTGAGAAGCTGATCGAACTTCTTCTGTTGCTTGCTAATCCCCTGGACCAGTGACTAAAGGGTTAGAGTGAGAATATCCATATAAGGTAATGTTACTATGGTAACACTACCATATAAGGTAATATACCTGGACCAGTGACTAAAGGGTTAGAGTGAAAATATCCATATAATTCAATCGTCATATTATTATTACTTACAACATATCACTCAAATCCCAGAGGAGTTGTAAAATAAAACTTTTAGCTTCACACCCCGTTAGTCACATTCTACGTCAGCAGCAGGCTAAGGGGGAGGGGAGAAATACTGACTGTTGCTGACGGAGAAGGAGGGGGCTAAGGGGGAGGGGAGAAATACTGACTGTTGCTGACGGAGAAGGAGGGGGTTAAGGGGGAGGGGAGAAATACTGACTGTTGCTGACGGAGAAGGAGGGGGTTAAGGGGGAGGGGAGAAATACTGACTGTTGCTGACGGAGAAGGAGGGGTTAAGGGGGAGGGGAGAAATACTGACTGTTGCTGACGGAGAAGGAGGGGTTAAGGGGGAGGGGAGAAATACTGACTGTTGCTGACGGAGAAGGAGGGGGTTAAGGGGGAGGGGAGAAATACTGACTGTTGCTGACGGAGAAGGAGGGGGTTAAGGGGGAGGGGAGAAATACTGACTGTTGCTGACGGAGAAGGAGGGGGTTAAGGGGGAGGGGAGAAATACTGACTGTTGCTGACGGAGAAGGAGGGGGTTAAGGCCCTGTGATTGTCATCAAAACTTTTAATTTGGCTAAATTTTTAGGGTTCAAAACACATGAATAAAAGGGAAGAAAACCGCGGTCGATCCTCTGACTGGCCACATTATTTTTGCAGTCAAAAAGTTTCCGACAATTTTTTTCGTTAAATTCCGAGTAAGTCTATTCCGCAACATTTTCATTTTCGTCGATTCCAATGATCGATTCTGTAGGCTGTTTCGCAATTCCTCCCGATATATACGATGTATAGTATGCAATCAAAATCCTACTAAAATGTCACTTCGCTGCAACCTGTAAAACCACAGTATTCAGCTTTTAAAAAGATTATAGAAATCAATTTGCTGCTGTTCGTGGGTTCAATAACTATAAATACCGACAAATCAAGGCCTTTTCCAGCAACAAAAAGAAAGTCTGTTAATTTCAAATTCCTAGAAAAGCTTTAACTGTAGGTACAATTCCACTTCATTCGTATTCTACTTTAAGCTATAGGGATCTCTCTTGGAAACACTTAAATCTATTTTTACTATTAACTTTAAGGGACAAGGGTCAAGAGAGCATATATAAGGTGAAATTAATGTGCCCCAATCGCAATTTTCATTCGACGAGCTTTTCAGCTTTCATTCATCACGTTTTCGTTACAATGACATGTCTAGTTATTAACTATTAGCGTTAAAGTTGATGCCGTGGTGTTATTGAGTCTCATTTTGATAGTTCTTTTATTCAAATTTCACTGAGTCTATTCAGAAACATAACAATCAGAAATTTGAATAAAAGAACTATTAGCATTAAGTAAAAATATAAGTTCGCTCTTTTGTCGTCGTTTATAAACGGAGACTTAAGCAAACAATTTTACTCAGCTCTCTCAACTAAAATATTTAAGCACAAATCCGAGCTGTTCTTAAGATACTGACGACATTTGTACCGGTATTCAGTAATTGTTCTCGAGCATTAATATTCTACCCAGCACTATGTTTCTTCCCCATTATTGGACATGGAACACACGTTCGGAGCCATTGGCCGACATGTGATTCACGTGGAGAAATCTTTTGACCAGTCGTAATATTTGACGTAGAGAAATGCAGGTCGAGATTTGTCAACGTAAACCCCTTGAAATAGCGTCAATGTGACATTGTGATTGTCTAGCAGTATAACGGTTCCATTTAAAATGGAGACTATATTCAATGCCATATTGAATTGAGGTATGGTTGTCCTGTCTGTGATTTGTGATGTACATGATCCCGACAATTTTTCATCCGGTTGCAAATATTTTCCGGAAAATTAATTTACTGATTATGATTATAGCACTCGAATTTCCCCGTTCTCGAATTCAAGCGCATGAAATAAAATGCGGTAGGTTTAATCCAGTTTTAGCCCGCTCTTTGTTAAGTGAAAGAAACCACTATGAGTATGACTGTGTTTAACAAAGGCGGCTTGGTGTGTGAAAAACGGAATGCTCTTTATTATTCCCAAAAAAAACTTTGATTATATGACCGGACTGCTTTTAATGAGAAATGGTCAAAAATATACATTACCTAGCATTTTATTGACTAGACATTAGAAGTAAGAGAAGTTTTAATCTCGGTGTAGACAAATCCAGTTTTCAGTTTTCAGGTGTCAGACGCCGCAGGATGTTAATTTACCAGAACTAAGGCGCGCCACCCCGTTTTTTAAATCTTCTATCATACATTTTTGTACTTGCTCAATACTTATTGAAAATGGACATACTTCGACTTGAAGATTAAATTAAAAACCTCCGAGTTTCTTCGCTTCCTGTCTCTATAAATCAATGGCATTTTTTAGAGATGAAATTTTATTCGACAATCCACATTAAATATAAGGATTTCAGATGAACAGGAGTTTTCTGATCTGAAAGAAGCTCCTTCTGCTGGGTCACATAATGATGTAATGTAAAATAGGAATGAAGGTTTAATGGTCCAGCTAGGCCATCACCAAAAAGAGGCAGGGCACAATCATTATCATAATCATAGAATCTATTATTATAGAATAGAAGTTGTGAGGTACCGCAGAAATATAACTTACAGTTGCATTAAGAATCCAGACCAGGTTAATAACCCTACTAGTACTACAATCTATCAAGTGCTCCTCATCGCCGAAAACGGAGAGTTATTTTAAAGGTATATTGATATTTGGGCTGATCTGCACACTTCAAAAACCATTTGCATTAACTCCGGCGAACTGTCAGTGGGCAAGGTCTGAATCCGCACCGGAAACGGTGTCACTTTAGGCGTACTTCGACGTATCAATGATTTATTAGTCTAGCGATGGGTTTAGCAACTGCAGGTAAAGTGTTCTCAGCCGCACTTTTTGTTTTGTGGTTTACCAATAATCCTACTGAGTTGCTCTTGCTCGGATCATATCTTTAGATAACGGATATTTAAAACTTTTAATAGGAGCGGGGTTTGAATTTGGTGCAACTTATAGCTATCAGAGCTGATACAACGACGTGTTCAATATTTTACAAGTACTTAAGAAACCAGACAGCATCCAGACAAGGGTGGTGTCATAGATTGTTACTCCAGGGAACAGCTTAGTTTCATTTTTATGTTTCAGCACGCCTTGGAAATATTGATTAAGTTCAGTACGATTTCATGAAACATCACCTTAGAAGAATTAAAACGCAAGCCATCGTCAAGTTTATATTCTAAACTTCTAAATTATACTGACCACAAATTGTACTGACCACTGACCACACATGAAATGAAATGATGTGCTTATATCCCGCCCATATGGTTAGACCTCTCTATACCAGACCTTTCTATATCAGGCCTCACTGTACTGAGTACCTCGATAGTCGATATACCGGGCCACTTTTTAATTGCGTGCAAGAAATGTGACTGGTTGGTGATTTGATTAAACATCGAGCTGTATTGCATCACAATACGACACAATAGAAGCATTATAAAAAACACTAATGAGGTATTTGTGAGTGTGACGCTTGACTGGTAGGCTAGTTGAGAGGCTACAGAGTACAGATACTGTGGATTGGGATTACGTGAACCTCTCCATACCGGGTTTTTCTATACCTTGCACTTTTCGTTTCCCTGATAGGCCCAGTATAGAGATGTTTGACTGTACCATTGAATTTTGTAAACCATTTTAATTTGAAATAGTATTCTCAATAAATATCGACCTATAACATATAACCTGTAACCTAAAACGTTATAGGTTTTAGGCTAAAACCTACCTACCTACCTACGTGACCTATGTTGAGTTTCATCAAGACTTGACGGGGCCATCACATCTTCTGACCACCCCATAGCGAAGTAAAGTCTCGCTCGTTGCGCCAGCACAGCCGAGTTCGTATTTGGAGGAGTATATCCCCTGATTGGCGGCTTATCAAGGAGAGACAACATGAACTTTGTGAGCTTATCTTGAAGTGCTCGACATCTTGAATGACATTCAGATGGTAGGGGATTGCATTCCACAATTTAGGTCACTGAACTGCAAATGAGTTGTCAAACAAGGTGAGGTTTGCTGTTGAACTGGTTCTACGTTTTGATGAAATTACTGCTAGGTTTCCAAGCCTTGGGCGTGAAACAAATAGAACGTTCAGATCATTGCTGGTCTTTCCGTGGAGGATTTTCCACATATGGAGGATAATGAATCGCTCCCGCCTTCGTTAAAGAGACATCAGAGATAGATATACCAGGCGATTCCAGTAGTGGAGATCGCGCATTTCTGATATTCTGGCGGTGAATGCTTTCTGTTCATTCTCCAGATCTTGGATATCGCTGATTTTTGAGGGATGCCATAATGGACAGCAATATTCAATCAGACTTCGAACCATTGATTTGTATAGAGTCAGCATGATAGAGTGAGATCGTGCATGAAATAAACTGAGAACCCATGATGCTTTTTGGAGAGCTTTATCTGCAATGGCTCGTATGTGAGGGGACCAAGAGAGATCACTTGACACTAGGACGCCTAAATCCCTGAGCTGATGTACTAGCTCTAGTGTAGTGTCTTTGGAAACTGAGTATTGAGAATTTTCAACCACAAATGGAAACTCAAATAGTACATATTGGTGGTTGAATTTGTGACACATATACTCAAATTTGTCTTTGTGAAGGGCCATATTATTTCTCTCGGACCAATCAATGACAATTTGCAGATCTTTTTGGAGGAGCTTGGCGTCATGCCCTGATTCGCATGATACAATGTTCGATATCATTGATAAAAATCAAGAAAAGGATCGGTCCCAAAACCGTACCTTGTGGAACTCCGCTGATTATTAATGTAAGGATGGACAGATGACCGTCAACAACAACTGCTTGTTTCCGGTCTGAGTGGAAAGATTTTA